TTTTTTTTTTTCTGTTTCAAGGCATTCACAAACTAGTTGAACATATTTTATATATTCAGAAAGTTCTAATCTCTGCACATTTAACTAGTTTAATCCTGCCATCTGAAATACCGCACTTCGTGCCCGATACTTTGTAAATCTTCGCCAATTTTGCCCTGCTGCTCTGTCGGAAAAGGCCCAGACCCGACACGCGTTTCATAAGCTTTAACAACACCAATTATCTCCGTTATAGCTGTTGGAGGTATACCTAGACCCGTAACAGCACCTCCGACGGTAGCATTCGATGAAGTTACGAAAGGATACGTTCCTGGAAAATCACGCTAAAAGCTGTGCCACAGTCACGCTAAAAAACTCTAAGGGAAATAGCACCTGAGTGGCAAAAAAAAGTATACAAAAATGAACCAAAATCTATGTCCAGCATCGCTCCATTTGCACCCTCTACCAGTATAGCTTTGCCCTGAGCTCTCATTTCATCCAAATAAGTGATGGTGTCACCAACAATTCCAAGTCGCTTCAAGCACACAGCATGTTTCTGAAAATATAATTATTTTTCTTGAAATAATTGAACGGCGCAAGACAGAACAGGAAAAAAAAACATGTACATTTTACATACTGTGATAGCAACAGAAGGCTCAAATCTTTTAAGCAAAAAATATATTAAACCTTATAATTGTCCAGTTCCTCCTCAACATTCACCTCAATACCAGGAAACTGTTTGAGGTAAAATGCCGCCAAGCTGCGAAACCTAAATCCCAGTAATTAAAAACGAAAAATGCATGTCGTAATCTCCCTCTTTTTGAAAAACAAAACATACTTTGCAGAAAATGCTTCAAAATCGCCTAAAAGTTCGCCAACACGAATTCCATTACGGAAACACTTTGTCGAATACGTCGGGCCGATACCTTTACTAGTTGTCCCAATTTTCCTACAAGTAAACTTCCTTTGACTTATAATAAAAAAAGCCATATAAAGTAAACTAACCTATCACAACACACATAAATAAAAACCACGAACTCCAATTCTGCTTCGAAACCGAAGAGCAGTTATTTAAAAACCTAGAAATTCCAGCAGACCAAAAAAAGCGCATAGTTCTAATTAAATCCAACAAACTCGGAGCTCAAGGATTTCTCTTGTTGACCATCTGCCTGCATGTGCATAGAAGTAACTAAGTGAGCAAGCTCACTAATCATCAGTCTCTTTTCCCATCCATTTAACTTATCAATTTCATTATGTTCGATCTCTTTGAAAAGAGCATCCAAGTTAACGACGACTCCATTCCCTGAAAGCCACAAGAAGCAGAACTCCAAAACTGAACATTACTTTAACTTACCAATAATATTGTAACAGTCCTCATTTATTATCCCAGTCGGAAGCAAATGAAAGTCACTTTTACGACCATTCACAACAACTGTATGACCCGCATTGTTACCGCCCTGACAACGTGCAGTTAATTGAATCTGTAAACAATCTGAGATCTAATCGACAACAGCAAAGGTGAGCTTGCTTCTATACCATGAGTCATAAACGACTGAATCGTTAGTATCAACCGTGCCTCCCAAGCACGTTTCGCTATTAGCACACGAAATAACCAATAACGTTAAAAACCAAGTAAAAATCCCTTCACTTCCATCTCTTGTTACCACCAGCTAAAAGGAATAAAGAACAAAAGTACCGATAAGTGGAAATTTTCCAGATTTCGTGGTGCTAAACACTACGCACTTACTGTGTGCAATGCCACGAATGTCACAGAGAAGAGATTTTTTGTAGATATGTACTAAGTGCGCACAGATATGCAACTTCCATAACTAGACACAACGGAGACACCGCAGTTAGAAAGCAGGAATCCTTTGACTACTGAACAATTTTAAGGAAACAACTAGAATAAAAGTTCGACAAATCACTCTTATCAGCCTACTGGTTAAGTTGCAGTGCAGGCAATTCCGAAATGGATAACGAATTCTTCCAAAGCATTAGGACAGCAATAAAAACGTTGAATACTAATTGAACGTTGTTGAAGAAAACCTATCTTAAACAACGCTGAGTACGTTGTTTAAGATCGGTTTCGAAAGCCGTAGCGAGCTTTGAGAAAATCTTGTAAGACCACTTCAAGTAACTCCTTAGACAATTCTACTTTTTTGAGTCAGTGGGTACAGTAATAAAGATTGTTACTTAGTTGGGTCTTGTTTATCTCTTAAGTAATAAAATTGAAAATAAATACAAAAAACAACAGTGACAAGATGCAGAGAAGGAAAAAAGCAGACCCGTACCGGTATGGGTTCAACAATGAAATTTTTTCTTGGAGATAAAGCAATAAACAAAAAACCCAAAAAAATTGTTCTCGTAAAAGTCAAAATGCATTTGCTAAATTCAGTCACTGACATCAGGAACATCGATTTTGGATCAGCTTTTTTTTTACTGAACGCTGTATAGTTTATGATTCTGAAAACCTCAGCTTTTTTTC